TATATATATATATATATATATACATATACATATATAACATACACACACACACACACACACATATATATATAAACTATTTAATTAAAAGAAATCTGGATTCCTTGTAACATATTTCAATGGCCAAAATAACACCTGAAAGGCTGATCTAACAAGATAGACTTATTTTATCTGGGATAGCTTCTCCTCTTAGTCTGCATCTAACATTTGAGACACAAACTGTTATTTCCAATTTGGTTTTATAGACAATTTTTAAAATCCTAAAATGTAGATCAAAGACCCAATAAATAATACTTAACCGAAAATGGCTGGCAGATGACAATTTTGTTAGCAATGTCAGTTTGAGCCTGGCTGACATCAGCCACAGAGCAAAACCGGTATTCAACATAGGCATCTATGCTGGCAGGATAGCTGCAGAATTCTATACTGAGATATGGTTTCTTGCAGTCTTTCAATCTGAAGTTTTCTCGTTTGCTGAAATTCAAGAGCAGTATAATAATAGCAAATATATGGGGATAATCGGTAATTTTTCAGGACTCACTTTTCTTTTACACAGTCATACAAAAGTTAAGAGAATTGAGAAAAAGAGGTCAACCAAAAGAAAAAGTTCCTATCATTCCTATTTCATTTTACCATGCTAAGCAAGATTATTCCTGTCTCCTTCTCATGTTTTCTAGGACACATGGAGAACATAGAAAGCAGATAGACATGCAATTCCTGCCATATTTTAGTGTTATTCTGAATCAGTAGAGTCACCAGAGCAGAGAGTCAATTTCATTTCAGAAGCGTAATAAAGCCATTGATAATCATAATGAATGGCTAGTTAATCTGATGTTTTTCCTCCCATATTTTCACAAAAGAAAAAAAGTTCTTAAAGAGTTAAAAGCACTACATTCAATTTAAATATTTGCCCCCAACATATACATAAATGGAATGATCTATAAGATGCTTGAACACTGACCAATCAGTATAAGGATAATTATTTTCTTAACCTTCAGACTACTTGGTCGTATAGCTATTGGAAGCTTTTTAAATATAAACAAAAAACAGGAGTGGAACAATGCACCTCAAACATCTGTAAGGGTTTGTTAAATGATACATACCACTTCTTATAGGCATACTCTAGGTAAGAAGCTACAAAGCGTGCCTCAAATTCTGAGGCATATTTTGTGTCATAGATGCCAGCTGGGAACATCTCTGAAAGGTCAGCAGTGAAAGTGCCCAGATTGTCAGGTAAGTGGGCATAGAAGCACTGGTAGAGGAAAACTAAATCAATTAGGCCATTGTGCAGAATGATAGGTTTTCTTGCTCGAATTATTTCCAGGAAAAAAGTACGAATTGTCTGACTCCGATTTTCATTTCCCTGTGAGTAAATAAAATGGAAACAATGTTATTTAGGCACTTTCCACTATGGAAAGTCCTTTTCCGATAGTCCTTTAGATTTGGATAAGACAAATGGGATGCCAGAAGTGATCCCTTCTAGACCTATTATCGAAAGAAAATACAATCTAATCTAAAGTATTGCATAGGTCCATAATGGCAAACCTATGGCATGTGTGCCACAGGTGGCATGTGGAGCCAATGCTGAGGCCATGCAAGATGTTGCTCTGTCAGCTCCAGTTGGCCAGCTGATTTTCAGCCTTGATTTTCGGCCATTTTTCGCCCTCCGGAGGCTTTCTCCTGAGGGAGAAAAACAGCCCAATGGACAACCCAGAGGTCTGTTCCCGAACTTCCGATTTGCATGTTGGGCCATTTATCACCCTCCCCAGGCTCTTAGAAAACCTGGAGTCTGGGGAGGGTGAAAAACGGACCTACCAGGTCCATTGGAAGTTGGAAAATGGGTTGTTTCTGGCCTCTGCAGGGTTTTCGGGGGAGGGGGGCATTTTTGCCCTCCCCAGGCTCCAAGAAAGCAACGCACACGTGTGGGGCAGGGTCACACGCACATGCGCAGGCAGCACGGCGTGGGGGAACATTAAATTATGGGGGTGGGTATGTCTGTGCACGGGCATGCTTTTGGCACCCGAGGCAAAAAAAGGTTCGCCATTACTGACATAGGCGATGCTTACCATTTGCATAGATGTAAGTGTGCATCTATTATCATATGACAACTTTTAGTCAAAAAGCTTGGACCTGGGTTGGTTTCTAAACCTGATGTTGAGAATAAACTTTCACCAAATTATGGAACAAAATATTCTGTGAAATCTACTAGGTAAGAAGTCCAAACCCATTTCCCAGTTTCTTTCTTATATTTCCATCAGATTTAGTCCTTAAATTAAGGAATCCTTGTACCTTATCATTTCCCCTATGATAGGGAATGCCCTGAGAATACTGCTTGTTGAAGTCAAAGCCATGTTGCACCAGGAATTGGACTGACTGTGGTTCAATTATATAATCATCCATACATAGCAAGGTTAAGTTGTAGATCTGGGAAAGATATGTGTTCTCTGTCTGCAAAATAAAAGTCAATCCAATGAAACTGAAGACCATAATTACTATTGCGTTGGGAGTATGATCCGTCTCATACATACATTCGTATACATTTATATGACATGTACATATTGATTGTGCAGAGAGAATCTCAGCACTGATTTTAGCTACAGTAAGCAATCTTAATTGAGAAAGCTGAACACAGAATAAGATATTTGTTAGGTTTTTATATTTCTGCCTATTTCTTTTTGGACAATTGTTTTAAATTCGGGTTCTCTTTTATGTGAATACAATAATACCCCAACAATTCAAAAGTTTAATAAAATAATGCTAGCAACACCAGGCATCATATTTAAATTTCTAAGGTTTGCATTCAATATTTATTCTCCATCAGAGGTAGGATTCTCTTGTCCTCACAGAAATATCAACAGAGGGCTAGACACAAAAAGGGGACCAAACCTTGTCAGGAAGGTGTTTAAAACAAGCAACTCCAAGAGACAAAACAGAGCGTGTTTTAGCAGCATTGCAAACCGCTTTATATCGTTCTTCAATGCACCTGTGAGAAACAAAGCAATTTAATAAGACGCAAAGACAGAGAATTTAATCTGCAGAATGACTGAAAATCCCTGAAAATAGTATTGTCTATATTGGGTAGATCAGGATGTCAAACTTGCATCATCACAGCGGTGTCATGTGACATATCGGGACTTTTTCTCCCTTCGCTAAATCGGTGTGGGTGTGGCCAGCGTGTGATGCATCCAGCCTGTGTGCCAGAAGTTTGACAGCCCTTGGCTAGATGGACCAATAATCTGATCATTATAAAACAGCTGCCAATATTCGGTATGATTTCTGATCTGATGACAGAATCTTGTCATTAACCTGAATTACATCCCCTAACTTTAAACATGACAAAGAACCTTCCCAATTCCAAAAGTATTAGACACATGTACTGATGCCTATAGCTAAAATACTCTATGTTTTCAGAAGGGCCAATTGCTTAAATAATCACATTTTAACCAAGTCATCAATTCCATCTAAAGCTTATAGCTATTGAATGCTTCTAGCTAAAAATATGACAGGTATATTAGGTAAATATTGTGAATAAAATATTTGGCCCAACATTAAGGATTTGGCATCACCTTTACCATAATACTTTAGAAGAAAAAGAGTGGTAACACAGTACTTACTGATTCAGCAAATTCTTCCTTGTTCCAAGCCCACTAAGTTCCTATGGATAAAGATAACACTTTCAGTCTTCAGTAAAAGATGTAACTGCATAAAATAATTAGGAATAAATTTTATCTTATTCTCAGGAGTCTGATTGTAATTTCCCTTTTCTCTTGTTCCAAAGTTAAAACCAATAAAGAGCAATTTTACTCACTGTGTCAACAGCAATAAAGCTAGAAGTTTTGATAGCCAAAAGCATGGATGGCCAGAGCTCCTTGAAATTGTCATCCTGGACATCAATGACGGGCACCCTTAAAGAGGCCATTATAATACAGCTATTGAGAACAAAACACATATGATCAGTTATTTTAATAATCCAATTATTAATTTTTGTTTTGGCGAAACCATAGTGAAAAAGTAAAATAAGCAAAAGGTTGCCAACTAGTCAACTTTAAAAACTGATACACTTTCTGTACCTACACTGTCTCTTTCATCAAAGCTCAAAAAAGTAAAGTTAACATGTCTGAATTGCAAAAACCCACACAACCTGCAGAAGATGGCAGAGATACAGAAAACTTTCTTTGCTGCCATCTACAGGTCGTCCAGATTTGTGCAGTATTGATATGGTAGCTCTAACAAAAAGATATTGCAATGGCCAATGTCTAAACGGGAGCAGTCTGCGTTGGGCAGAGCTATCTTCTCTGCATTTCTGGGTACTAAACTGCCTGGGGAATACCATATAGGAGAGAAAAATAAAAATAATCAAAATTCCGGAACTCACATTCAACTATATCAATCCCTGGAAGTTTTTAATTTTCTATTATCCTTAAAAGCTTAATAAACTCGTCTGCCGCAGATACCTTAAACTTCCGGCGCGTTGTGAATTTAGGGGTCCTTTCCCTGCTGATGGCGCATATATGTAGCTGTCTATTTTAAGCGCCTTTCGTGAGATACTAGCGCAGTTATATAAGATTATCTAAACATGAGTCCCATTCGGTATTCCAGCTTCCCTAAACCAGATGCTTTAAAAGTTTTTCGCACGCGATGGGGTAATATGTTTAGCAACTGTGGGGCTTTCTGCAGATTTTTTTTAAAAAAATTTAAAAATTAAAACCAACTTCCGAGGTCATCAAAAATGTTCATTTTGCGGCATTTTAGGGTAAACGCTACATTCAGCCCACTTTGTAAGCAGATCCCCACAAGCCGAGAATAGATGCATGCATTTAAAATTATTTTTACAATGTCATATTCGGACTTGGCAGCCGGGAAAACTTTTCAATCCAGTCTTTTTCAAAAATAGCCGACTGGGAGGAGAGATTTTCCATTGCGGAAAAAAACAACTCGGTGTTGTTTAAAAAAAATAATCAGCGGTATAAGCATAAAATATGTGAATTATAAAATAATATCAAGCCAGGCAGTCACACTATACATAAGCATAAACTAGCATTCTGACATTTGGTTGTTTTTTATCAAATGAACATCACTAGTTTAACAAGGATTAATTCTTTTCCTAACTGGCTTTAACTACTAAGATATTAGTTTTTCAATCAAACGTTGGGCGGCGGGGGGTGGGAGGAGAGAGGATAGTAAGTTCCGCGTAAATAAAACTTGGCGGTATGATTTATAAAACGATCTGGAAAAAGAGTTATTCTCTGCTCCTCCCCAAACGCTTCCGGCGAGTTAAAACTTCGCGCCTCCAAATGGCAAAACCTGCAGGACAACACAAGCTAAGTCTCGGGTCTATTTGCTGCTTGAAATATTGATTAATTGCAGGGCAGCTTTCGAAGAACCCCGTCTCCTCTCTCTCCATTAGAAACACACTTCTTTGTACACGGAGTAAGAATTACGTTAGAAAGTGCATTGCCTCCAGTTGTTGGAAAGAAACGCGTGAGTACCGTAAAATCCTTAAATTGTCCTTTACATTCACTTCTGCACAAAGAGGGACACTTATCGATAAAAGAAAAAGTAAGCATTGGAGAACCCAGGGGCTTTTGTGCTTCCTACAGTAGCACTGTGGTTGGTGGGCGTTGTACATCCCTCTCCTTTTCAATCTGCTGTTTGTGCAGTTCGTGGTTTGTTCCGTTTCTGTGCATGGTCAGCCGGTTGCGTTTCCGTGACGGCTCTGGGGCTACAAAGAGCCGTACAGATGAGAGGGAAAGGGGAAAAAAGAAACGTTGTATGCCTCTTTTGAAAGGAGGTCTGTTTTCTAATAATTGTTCCATTTTTGAGCGTGTAAGAACAAAACAATCCTCCTACACGGATGTTGTTGGCACGTGGTGAGAGGAGCCGACGGCTTTGTTAGGCATGGAAAATTAGAATAATCTGCGTTAATTTAGGTTATTGAAGGGAAATCGCACTCTTCGAAAAGAGGGATTTGGTTGCCATAGGGGAAGATTGCCTGGTGTAATTTTATAGATGATAGATAGATAGATAGATAGATAGATAGATAGATAGATAGATAGATAGATAGATAGATAGATAGATAGATAGATAGATAGATAGANAAAAAAATATCTAAATATTATTTTGGATATTGAGTCATTAAAATAATAGTATGCAACACACATAAATGCACATTATTTTAAATGGTTTCTATACATATAGTAAACGTTTGTAGGCACCTGAATTGCTGCTGTCCATGTATTGTTGAATTCATACAAGAATAATATTTCACTGAACACAAGCAATCATATGAAAAACCAAATAATTGCAGTAGTATAATTCCTGATTATTTGTATCCAAATTCAAGAATTGCCTCCAGAGTCATAAATCACAATGATACAGACAGCTGCAACAATATTTACCTCTTACTGTTTACCACCGAATTTATCTCATTAGATAAGAAAGTAAGCTTATAGGAATAAATGTTAATGAGCACATGTGTAATATTATTGACTTTCACATATTTAACCTCTCTTACAAAATGAAATATACAGTGTGATACTTCAGCCTTTGAATTATGTTGTATTTGAAAATCAATGGAAAACACTTCTTGTTGCAAAGTAGATCAGAAAACTAATTGACACAGATAGAAACAAATATTTTTAATTCTCCACTCCACTTCTTAATTCATTTAAAAGTCTATTTCCAACTTTAGTAAAATACAGAATAGGCATCGCCACAAAAAATCTGCCTGTTTATGCCCTTCCTTGGGTGATACAATATTACTGTTTTCCACTATTACAAGATCACTACCATTTATCAGCAGGAGAATATAAATTTTGCAATGAAGATTTGAATCATTGTTGTAATCCAAATAGTTATCGTCTGGAATTTAATAATTTTCATAACATCTTCTGTCAATTGGCCTAGCATGCAGACCTTAATCAAAACCACACATACAATTTATGAATTATGTAAAAGTTCATACAGTTGCTACTTTTTCAGTAGCCATATTTATTTATTTAACTCCGTCATATTTTCCAAGGATTTCATAATAATGAATAATTCAAATCAGAATGCAAAACAATAACCCAAAATCAACATAATAAGTCAATCCTTAAAGTCAGATATCAACAATCCAATTAAAAGTAATATAAATAGGATCCAAACACCACATATTGAGACCCCGATGCCTTCTCAATACTTCTCTTTTCAAAAACAAAGGAACAAAGTTTCCTGGTATTTAACCAAAAAGAAACATAATCCATCTGTCCTGATATAAGAGAAATAATGCAGAAGAAGAATACTGTAAAAATAAATTATACAATAAAAATATTCTAATGCAATGCCCAGTGTAAATNTTGCACCCCTAACCCTTTAGAAAAAAAACCCCAGGGGTGTTCAAACTTGACAGCTTTAAGACTTGTGGACTTCAACTCCCAGAATTCCTCCTCTCACTCTTCATTTTGATGATGTGTGGACGGGCAGGGGGAGGGAGCTGGAACTGGTTCTAAATGACACTGTAGATTTATGGAACCTCTTCTATAGAAGAGGTTAGAACTGGCAGGATCCCACCCCCGAATGACACCATCATAAATATGAGACAGTTGCCTGGGGTTGATGAGTTCCCCTCCCCTCTCGACTTGTATGGTTGTATGACTTTTGTGTATTTTAATTATGTGTACTGTGTCTATGTCCCCTTTTCCCCTTCGGAGTTGTTCGCCGCCCTGAGTCCCTCCCGGAAGGGCGGCATACAAATAAACTAAACCTGAAACCTGAAACCTAATTAACCCCTGTGCCCCAATTTGACTGGCAGAGTGCTGCAGGAGACTGAATGCTGTCACATACCCTGGCCATACTCACCCACCCAGGCCCTCCCAGCCAGTCATTGGGGCAGACAATCGGTTGTTAAATTATTTGAACCCCACTAGTGCACCGATCCTCAACATTACAACTGCCCTACCACTCCCACTGTCACCTGATTGCATTTTGGGCTCTTGGCAGTTGGCCCACATTTACAACTGGTCCTGCAGTCATATGATCATGGTTTGTAATGCTTTTTGATGTTTCCTAGCAAAATATGCCCCTTGGATAAGTTGGATTTAGGCTTACGACCACATGATTGTCTTAATTATCCCAGTGGCTTGTTTAACACCCCGAGTACAAAAAGTTGTAAAATCAAATCTGGTCACATAGTGATTCAATTTACAACCGCAGCAATTCCGGGCTCAATTGTGTTTGTAAGTCAAGGATGTCCTGTATTACTGCAAACAGCAATTCTTGATCGCAGCAAATCTATATGACTCACCTTCTTTGATTCCCATAATGCCACAACGATCAGCAGCAGTCAATAAACTTTTTTTTTTTTGCTGTAAAAGAGTATTTTCAGTTTAAATTCTTAAGTTGCCCTAAAAGGAATTCTGCTAAGAAAGCAAAGTTGGATGTTTTTGCATTGGCAAAGTGTGCTGACTGGAGCGGCACTGAAATTAAAGCATTCTGAAATGTTCTGGAAGCCAAAACAGAGAAATGGAAGGGAACTGGATGTCACTCTTCTGCATATTGTACTTTTTCAGGTACATAATCCCTGCATTGCTTGCAACAGCAATTCCCAGCCTTTGTATTTTTGTTAACCATGACAGAGGTAACGGCAAATCACCACGCTAACCAAGATCAGCCACATAATACGTTCAGGCACCATGACACAGTCAACTCTCAGATGTTATCCCCAAATAAACTGAAGTTTCATTTTAAAGGGATAAAATCCATCACCAAGCTGCCTGATGTTGTTGAAGTTTGGGGCAATGTAAAAGGCTGGGAATTNCCGTGGTGGTGCAGTGGTTAAAGTGCAGTACTGCAAGCTACTTCTGCTGACTGCTGGCTGACTGCAATTTGGCAGTTCAAATCCCACCAGGTTGACTCAGCCTTCCATCCTTCCA